TATTTCGGAACGGTTGCACGCGCCATGGTCACGGGTTGACCCGTCAAGAAGAAGAAGAAGAGTCAACCCGTGACTATGGAGCGTGCAACCGTTCCGAAATATCGGGAAAATAAAAAGTATTAAAGTCATTTATATATGACATGATTACATTCAAAACTTTATAACCTTGATAAAAATAGCAGAATAAATGTTATTCAATTAAGTATTCATATGTTATTATTTTTCAATTTCATTACTTAGCAATCATTAATTATAGAACAATTAATTAGTACTCATATAGGGATATTCATTGATATCAATGTAATAAGGAAGAAAATAATTAATAAATCAAATTGAGTATAAATGTCAGTTCTATTAAATTGTTTTAATGTATTTTTTTTTTAAATCCATAATAACATATTTGGTCTTCTGTGATAAACATGCCTTTTATTACTTGTAAGAAAAAGTATTTGTTAACTCATACAAGTAGCGTAATGTAAATGGACTAACAAAAGAATATTTAATCAGCAATATTCTTAACCACTATGGGCTATGATGCTAGAATGTCAGCAAGGGCTGTGTACTTCAGAATTCTTTGTCGCTTAGTCAAAGCACATAGTACAGTATGGTGTAACCGGCTGATTTCCGCAAATCGTAGTCTATTTTGCGTAAGGTGAATGCTAGTTATGCAACAGATCTCTGCTCCTGCTTCCGCAATTGCGGAAGTTCTGCACGCTTTTTCACATCTGTTTCTGTATTCGCGACATTTATAACGGACCTTTAATCAGAAGTTTACAACATCTGCTACAGATCAGGCGTTTTTCGCTGGTTTGTGTTGTGTAATAATTACACTTAAATCATGAAACCAAAAAGTGGCCCTATTAGGATATTACTGCCTCTGTGGCCGAACCGTCTCAGGTTCGGTTACCGGCCCGGGAGAAATATTTGTATGGCCTACATTTATTCTCTTGTGGCTTTGGGTGTAATTTGTGTTGTCTATGTGTGTCCATGACACCCGCGACATAGGGTTTCCCTAGTGGCAAGGCTATATTGAGTGTGTGCCTTATTAAAAAAAACTATTTTGTTATTACTAGTATTCACACTTCCGCTTCCACATCCGCTTCCGTTTCCGCTAAGATTTATTTTTGACATCTGTTTCCAATAAGACACTTCCATTGCATCACTAGTCACACACAAAATCCTACCAAATTTGCCTAATCTTCTCCAGGAATCTTAGCACCCTAGTATGCTTTCTGTAAACTTTGGGGAGCGACCTCGGCACTCCAAGGTGTTTTGGACTGTAGTAGGACAAGTGCAGCTGTTAACACCTATGTAACTATTTACTAAATATTAAACTTTAAAATATTTTAAGGTTGTGGTTCATTGTTCACCCAGTTCTCATTGCCTACTTCAATTCAATTACAATATTATTTTAGATAAAGAACATTACCATTAACCTAATTTCTTAGCATAACTGGGTGGTACTATGATGTAGCATTTCATCACAGAGATACTGTGCTATTACTTGATCAGTCATCAAAATAGAAGAAGTTAATTTAGTTAAACTAAAGAATGATGTGGACATTCCCTTACACAAATCCTGGGACATCTCGCAACTAGGGGTCTTTAATCGTTCTC